AGGGTCCCGGGCTACGCTGCCCGCGGGGCTTCCCCGCGCCCGCCTCCCCACGGGGCCCTGGAGGCGAGGATCGCCCCATTTTCCAGCCGCGGACTGCGGCTGCGGTGGATGGGAAGGGCCACGGTGCTCGGACAGGCGCGCGACCCCTGCCCGGCTGCATCCCGGCGACCTGCGCTCCGCCTGGGTACCACTCCGCATCCGCGCGCCGCCCCTCCTGGCGGCCCGCTGTCACCAGGGCCAGGTGCAGGCGGCGCCCACTCGAGGCGCGACCCCGTGTGACGCCGAGGCGGGGACGCCCCGAGACCCTCCGAGCCCCCCGCATGGGTGTGGGCGTCAGGCTCCGGGCCGAGCCCCCGCGCCCTGCGGCGCTGGACCAGGACCAGGACCCAGGGAAAGCGGCAGCGCCAGGCGCGACCCCAGGATGGCGGAGGGGACGGGGTTCCCGCTCTCCTACGCCCGGGACGCCGTGTCCCGCTCCTTCCTACCCACCCACGGGCTCCGTCTCCCCCTCTCCACATCGCGCCCAGTTTCCACACGTCCCGCTTGCTTCACGCTTGCAGATGAGCACCGGTACTCGGCCGAGGCTCTGGGCCGCCTGTTGCCCGTGCCCCTTGGTCGCGGAGCCGCTGCGAGAGGCCGCCCCGTCTCAAGCCACGGTTCTCCTGCGGCTTTTGGTGGAGAAGGTGACCGAAAACCTCTCCGCAGAGGACAGGAAGGGCCGTGAGAAGAGCCCTCTGGAGCCCTCAGGAGAGGGGAGAGCCCCTCAGGAGCCTCCGCGGCGACCCCGGTAGCGTCCTCCTGCAGCAGATCAGCCTCCCAGGGCGAGCAGCTGTCCCCGGTCCGCATCCCCAAACTTCGGGAGAGCCGTCCTCCCTCTCAGGCGCTTTCGGCTTTGACCTTGACTCTGCTTCCCATCCTGGTTTTCTAACTTTGCAGTCTAACCTTAGATAATTTTTTTTTTCTTTTTAAAACATTTTTAGAATTAAAAAAAATTCTGTACAAATTTGCAGAAGAAACTATTTTAGTGTCCTTACCATCTGTAACAAATATGTTGGCGTATCTGCTTGCATTTATTAAAGTCACTTTTCTGCCTGGGGTGGTCGAATAGGCCTGTAATCCCAGCACTCTGGGAGGCTGAAGAAGGAGGGTTTCGAGTTTCAGTCCAGCGTGAGCAACTTAGCTTATTAAGTAAGACCTGCCTCAAAATGAAAAATCAAATAAAAAAATGTTAAGGATGTAGCTCCTGGATTCAAGGCCCGGGATTCAATCCTCAGTACCACCAAAAAAAAAAGTCACTTCTTGTAAAACTGAAGCATAAGTGTTTTGTAAAAAATAAAGAAATAAAATGATACAGAAAATTTAAATTATACTGGACATAACTTTCAAGAATGTCAAATTCTAGACATCATATTAGGCATTTTATAAATATTGATAGAGATACATGAGTAGATACATGTTTGACCAATTCATAAATAGAAAAATTATTTTAAAATGTTAACATCTCATAATTGTTCATTTTAAACTGTGTGAAAAAATAAACTCTGTGTGTGTGTGTGTGTGTGTGTGTGTGTGTGCGCGCGCGCGCACGCACTATGGAATAAATCCAGGGCCTGCTCTACTAACCATGAACTAACTTATTTTTATTTATTTATATATTTATATATTTGAGAAATATATATTTATTTATTTATATATTTGAGACAGGGTCTTACTATGTAGTTCAGGCCAACTTGGAATCCACTATGTAGCCCAGGCTGGCCTCAAACTCCCAGTGATCCTCCTGCCTCAGCTTCTTGACGCTGGAATTATAGGCATGCACAACCGTGCCCAGCTCTTACTTATCTTTTAATAGAAGAAGATGAATTATTAAATTTTAAATATCTCTTTACCACATGAGAGATATTCCTAAGTAATCCTACAAGGGTTTGGAAAACCAATGTTGAAAACTGTAGCATAGGGGCTGGGGATTTAGCTCAGAGGCAAAGTGCCTGCCTGGCAAGCGCAAGGTCTTGAGTTCAATTCCTTGTACCGGAAGAAAACCAAACAAAGAAAGAAAACCATAGCATGTAACCCACACTTTATTATGCAATGAGAACATTTTTCCCATTTCCCCTTACCTCATCCACATTTGTCAGCTGTGCTATTTTCTTCAAATTGCCACTGTCCATTCCATAAGTGTGATTCCCAAGGTTGATTAGTATTAGATCTACCATTAAATAATGTCTCAGGACAGGTCCCTCCTTCCCCTACTTCTGCTCACTTAGCCATAGTCTCCATTTGCTCCTTTACCAGATGTGATCACGCATGTGTCCATGGGTACTCTGTACTCCTGAGGACCTCACAGATGCAGACAGACACGGTCCTGCTCTGACGGCACTCCTATTCCAGAGGAAGAGGCAGACGAATAAGTGAATGTGCTGCTGAGACAGTAAGTCTGGGTGAAGAACTACAGTGACAGGGAGCCTCAGGGCAACTGATTCTAGAGAACTGGCCCATAAGAGGAAGGCAGAGTGGAAACTGGATGAGTGTTCAGGAAGAGGAAGAGCAAGGGTCAAGGCTCGGAGTCATCAGCCTCTGAACAGTGGATCGTGGAGTCAGATGCCACAGTCCAGCGCCATTGTTAGACAGTCTGCAGCTGCGCATCTCGAGGGGCATCTTACCTCCAGCTCCATCCATATGCACAGGAGCTGTGAGGGAATGGATAATGGTCACCCGGATCTGATGAGAGCAGGATAAGAGGCCTTCAGTGCCAGGGGTGGTGGAAGCACACAGGGAGGCGATTACTGGGCCAAGGCTGAAAGAGTTCCCCAGAGAGGCGGGGGCGGAGCTGAAACTCGGTTTGCTGGGCTGACGGGGAGGGAATGCCACCATAAGCAGGAGTCAGCAAGCATGCATACATGTAGCACAACAGAGAGGTTTGGCTGGAGCAAAACACCGCTGTCCGAGAAGTTAAGAGAGGTGAGGCAGGACCGGGAAGGGTCACCCATTTCTGAGAGGCCTTGAATTCAGTGCTAAGTAATGTCACCTCTTCTTGAAAAGAGGCAGCCACACGACAGCTGCAGGTGGGGCTGGAGCTCAGCTGTCTTCCGGAGTCCAGCAGAGACTGCATTTCAGTGGGACCTGACAAAAGCCAACGATCCATTTAGGAGGTGGCAGCAGAAGCCCTGGAGAAAAACAGTAAGAAACTGGACTGAAAAGGTCACCTTGGGGATGCAGAGGAAGCAGAGGACAGTGGATACGAAGAGTATTCAGCGGAGTGAATTCCCCAGATAAACCCGTCTGGGGAGGAGGGAGGGACCAAGGCGGAGGGGGCGGGTCGGGGGTTTGCTTTTAGCATTTGGCGTTTGGTGGCACCGGCCATGTGGCTGGGAAACCAGAGAAGATGCAGCTATGGGCAGGGAGTGGGATGTTCTCCACTGTTGGCTAGGACAGGTTAACAAACCAGCGGGCAGGTAGCTGTTGGCCACTTCCTTCATGGGAGGAGTCGCAGCGAAAGACACAGACTTAGCAATCATCGCTGTAGGGAATGGCAGTTGATGCACCAGGTGGGTGATGGGCCTGTCTAGGTGGGGCGTAGGTTTTAAGGGGAGCCACCAAGACCAAACTGAGGAACGAACATGGGTAGGGCAAAAAGAGGAGGAACCCCCTTGTATCCTTGCTGTTCTCCATAAGTCTGGGCAGCCTAGTCCTCTACTTTTTCCCTGACCTCCTGTGTCCTATGAGCAGGCATGAGAAGTCAGGTGTAGCAGCCCTCACCTGTCATCCCAGCACTGTGAGGGGCCAAGGCAGGAGGATCACAAGCTCCGGCCTGTCTTGGTAATTTAGCAATTTAGCGAGGTCCTGTCTCAAAAGAAAATGTAAGAAGGGCACTGGGGTCTGGGTCTGCAGCTCAGTACACAGGCCCTGGGTTCATTCGCCAGTGGGAAATAAAGAAACGAATGGACAAATGCAGGTGTGGCAGACCCCACCTCTTCCCAGTGTCTACTGGGTAACTGAGTCCTGTAGATCCACCCAACTGCCTGTCCTTTACGCACTGTCATTGCTCTGGAGCAGGTTTTTGTCTCTTCCTTCTGGAAGATTCTGCACCCAGCTGGCTCTTCCCCCTGAATCCAGCTCTGCTCCCGCGATGGCCTGGAAAGCCCGTCTTTAGGAAGACGCACGGTTTTCCCTCCTTCCCATGCTAAGCCCACCGCATTTGACGGCCTCATGTCACAAGCTGTCTCCTCCTGGAACGCCCTCCCTTACGCCTCGGAGCGCACTGCTTCCAGGCTGCAGTCTGGCCTCCTCCCTGAGCTGCCTCCCCTCCCCTGCTGGGATTGTGGTGAAGCTCACATCTGTCTGCCTGACAGCCTCCCAGGTGCTCCTCAGTCAGCACCGGCTTCCTGCTCAGCCTCGGAACCGCCCTCGGCACAGGCTTTGTCACTGACGCTCGGCCATGGGTCAGACAGGCCAGCCGAGGCCCGGGGGAAGTCTCTGTTCTCAGCAAAGGTCGATCAATCAGCAAGTGGCAGAGTCAGGACCTGCTGACCTGTGTCCCCCACTGCACAGCTGCCCTGGCAAGACAGCCAGCTCTCCAAGAATGCCGACTTCCTGGAACTGATGGTCACCCCTCACCTCCCTAGGTAGGCACCAGAAATAGGTCCAGTTTGACATC